GAGAGAGAGAGAGAGAGAGAGAGAGAGAGAGAGAGAGAGAGAGTGTGTGTGTATCCTCAACACATATATGCTTAAAAGCATCACAGATTGCACATAATAAATACATATAATTTTATCTCTCAGTTTAAAAAAAATTTAAGTGCATTTTTTAGACTTAATTTTTATTTTTCATTAGACATGTATACTTCTAGTTTCCTTAGCATAAGATCATAGAAATGTTCTTTGATTTATCATATTGCTGGAAAGTGCATGATATGATAATGCATATTTTAATGGAAAAATGGTCATTAGTCTATGGCAACTAGTTTTCTTAAAAATTACTTTAGAATTTAGAAATTTAAACAAATATGGAATTTATGTGGATCACAAATCAACTGGCATAGGATAATATGCAAACAATGAAGCAAGAAAAAAATGGTCATAGGTATTATAATCTGTAAGTATACATTTAAAAATAGCCACATTCACATTAAATTATTCAAAAATATAAGGCCAAAATTGAGTGGAATTCATGCTTATAAAGGATACATAAACAAGAAAGGTTTTGATTTTAGCACTGTTTGAGATATCAAAAATCTAGAAACAATCTGAAAGACATCACCTATAAGAGATTATTTCAATGGAATTCTATGGGGTGGTTAAGAAGAATTATATTGATCTATTGATATAAAATATCACTAACATAAAAACAAATAAGTCAAGATGAAAAATGTTCTCTATAATTGTATAATACATTTGAGTTTTTAATAAAGGATATATACACATGTGTTTAGATACTTACATAAATACTTATATATTACATATATAAACACATATATATATAACCTATATATATGCACATACACTCACACTAAAAAGTCTTTATTAACATTGATTACTCATGGTGATCAGGCTTTTGTAATATTCTTTGAATTGTTTGTTATATGTTTTGTCTATGTTTAAAATTTCAAAATTAAAATCCTTCCTGACAAAAGAATACCTAAAATATATAAAAGACAGTAGAATATTGTACTTGAATATCCTACTTAGAAATGACAAAGATGTGCTTGCTCTCTCCACTTTTGGGGGATTGTTCTGATTTGGGATCTAGATAAAAATATTTATTTAACCTGATTTGCTGTGATTGATCTATGCAACATTCCTGGTGACAGGAACATTGAGATATTTGTGCAGTGTTAAGATCTTCATTTGCTCTCTATTTTCCATTTCTGGTTAAATACCTAAAAGGCCATAGAAAATCATTACTGCATTTATTATGTCAGTAAATGACTTCAGCAAGAAGTGTAGTGAAGAAAACTTGGAAAGAAGGGAAACTTCTTAGAGACACTGCATATCAGGAAACAGATCTACCTTGCCCATCTAGGGAAGCACAGAAAGAGATACCTGCAGGGAGGGTGTGTATAAGTCCACTGGGACCAGAAAGGCCAAGGAAGCAGAGAAGCTGAGTAAGAAACTCAGTTTTAGAAGAGCATAATTTGATCGCACTAATAAATTTTTGAGAAATATTTTATGCTTCAGGTTGGGCCCAAAAAGATCATATTCAAATGTGAAATAATTAAAATTGTAGCATTTTGGGCTTTAAATTGGAGCATTCGAGGATAAAAACTAACGAGAACGTGAAAGTCTCTTCTGAATGTGCTGTCCATGCTAATGGTGCATTTAGCTCTTAAACTTGTTAATTACTGACATGTATGTTTCTCAGCATGTCCAGAGTAAATTCTGTTGCTATCTCAATTACTGTACTATGAAAGAATGTAGGAAGAATTTGAAAATGGCCTTTTTGTCTGTTTCTTACTAATTCCCCTAATTAATTCCATAGGACCAAAATTAGAGAAAAATTATACTGCTGAATGGAATAAATTAAGCTGGATTTAAAGAAATATAGGTTAGAAATTGAGGTGGTTTGCCAGAGAAAGCCATGTAAATTCTATTGTTTTTGTTTGTTTGTTTGTTTGTTTTTGTTTTTGTTGTTTGTTTGTTTTTGGTACTGGGGTTGAACTCAGGGGCACTCAATCACTGAGCCACATCCACAGCCCAATTTTGTATTTTATTTAGAGACAGGGTCTCATTGAGTTGTTAAGTGCCTCACCATTGCTGAGGCTGGCTGAGAACTTGAGATACTCCTCCTGACTCAGCCTCCTGAGCTGCTGGAATTACAGGAATGCACCACCATGCCCAGCATAAATTCTGTTTTAAATGAAGCCAAACTCCCAAACAAGCCCTTAAACATCTTTGTGTCCTGAGGATCAAGGTTACTATGGCAAGACACCTCAGCAACACAGACATCTGATTGTAATCATCATCTTGTCTTTACTTCTTTGGTTCCCCATGAAATTATTTAGAAGATCCTGGCTCACTTGGTTAGCAATCTTCTGATTTAAAATTGCAAAACGTGGCTCTTTCTTCTCAAAGGTAAAATACCTCATTATGTGCATGTAGAAAAGAAAATAGCTCCTAGTTTCTTCTGAAAACAACTGTAAACTGCCTTCAGAAATCCTTCACAATCCAAATTTTCCTTTATTTTTTTGTCTTTAACAGATACAGATTTTAATTTCATTTAATTTTGTTGATATATCATTTTGCTATTAATCAATGCTTCTATTTCTTTTCTAATTATTCTATAAGTGATCAAAAATGAGTGTCTTCGGCCACATCAATGTTTGTAGCAGCACAATTCACAATTCAGTTAAGTTGTGGAAGCAACCTAGATGCTCTTCAGTAGATGAATGGGTAAAGAAAATGTGGTGTATATACACAATGGAATATTATTTAGCATTAAAAGAGAATAAAATCATGCCATTTGCAGGTAAATGGATGGAGTTGGAGAACATAATGCTAAGTGAAGTTAGCCAATCCCAAAATACCAAATGCAGAATGTTTTCTCTGATACAGGATGTTGATTCATGATGGGGTTGGCAGGGAGCATTGGAGGATTAGACGAACACTAGATAGGAAAAAAAGGGGTGGAAGGGGAAGGGAGGGGGCATGGGGATAGGAAAGGTGGTGGAATGAGATGGACTTCATTACCCTAAGTACATGTATGAAGACACGAATGGTGTAACTCTAATTTGTGTACAACCAGAGATATGAAACATTGTGCTCTATATGTGTAATATGAATTGTAATGCATTCTGCTGTCATATATAACAAATTAGAATAAATTTTTAAATCATGATAATAAGGAGATAAAAAGAAAAGAAAAAAGAAAAAAAAGTGAGTGTCTTCCATTTCCAACTACCCCCAGGTCAAGTGCTCTGGTCACTAAGTACACATTAAGTGCAGTACAGATTTTGTATTTAATTTTTTTTCCCATCAAAGTCAATGTGACCTTTGGGAGATCATGCTAAAGTAACCTCCTCCACCTACATATTTCATCACAACTTGTTTTATTTTCCTCATGGACTTTGGTGTACTGGCAAGTGGCTTTCTAGAGGAGAAAAGAAAACCTTTATATATAGTGCTTGCCAGTTGCCAAGGTATAAATATACCCATGGCAGCTGATTCAAAGATTCCAATGTGGTGTCACTGAAAGTGATGTTAGGACAAGATGCATATAACCAGGTCTCATGTAGCAGTGTGAACAGGCTTTGAAACACCAAAGCTACTAATGTTTGTGCTCCCCATTACTCAAGATTGATTTGTTGATTATATTTATTTTCTATCAAAACTAATCTCCAGGCAGAGAACAGTGCCTGGCATACAGCAGGTGCTTAATAAACATTTAGTGGATGAAAGTATAACTTTCGACTTAAATATATAAAAATTTTAAGGTGACAATGATAATAAAAATATTGTTTTAAATTGTTATGTGGTATGTGTTCTAATAATTTGAAAATAATCTCCTGGGAAAATGTGACAAGAGACGACTCATGTATCGCTTTCAAAAATTTGTCTTGTATCTTTTTTATCTCATAGGTTTTCCTTAGAGATTTAAATATAAGTTTGGGTGGAAGTGAGGTTGAAATGCATAAAGAAAAAAGATTACAAGCTTTGAATTTAAAGTTTTATCACTGAAAGATTAATCATAACTTCCAACAGTGAAAATAGAAAAAAAAATGTCCATTTTAAAACAAAAGAAAATATCATTTTATATTTCATGAGCTAAATAAGTTTAAATAAAACAATCAAGAAGCAAAGAAGTCTTTGCACTTATGAATTATATGTTATTGCCTATGGCAGAATTAGAATAAAAATTACTACTGTTATGATTTTCATAATCATTGGCAATGTAAGATAATGTAAATAAGACCCTACAACTGAAGAATAATTATTCAGATTCAGCTTTCCTCTTTTCAAAGTTTTTACTTTTTTGAAGAAAATGAAAATTAATTAGAATTGACTTTTAATATTTTCATCTTTAGTTTTCTAACATGCAACTCTAAATTAGTAACTCTACATTTGCTTCTATATTAGTAATTTTTAACACAGATGCTACAGCACATTTTTTCTTAGCATGGATTAAATTTATACATTTTGTTTTATGACGGGCACAAAGTAATTCTTAAAAGATTCATTAGATCTCTGTTAATTATATTATCTTCCACCACCTGACTCTCAATGGCCCTCCTTAGGCTCATTTATTTTTTCTGACAGTCCACATTCAACTACTGATTGTGTCTCTTCTTCCAAGAATCTTGGCTTTGTTCATCCACTCCTAAGAATGCCTTTCTTCCTATCTCTGTCTTTTGTAATTGCTGACTATATTTTACTTAATAGTCGACTTATTCACTTTTTGTGCAGTACTTATTCACTAATTATATTTTGTTGTTTGTTGTTTATTTTCCTTCTGTCTTGTATAAGTACAGAGATTTCTTTTCATTCACTTCAATATCTCAATGCCTAGAATAATACTTGGCATGGAGTAAGTATACTAAGAATCTACTGAATCAACAGACAAAGGTACTTATCAAAACAAATCTAAGGATTATAGTAAGATGCTCTATTTACGATGAATTTAAAAACATAAACATTTATATTTTAAAGTATAGATTGGCACTTCCTCTTAATCTTGTGCTATTTTGACAAAGTTGTATGAATTAAGAGATAATGTGATATCTTGAATCATTCAAAAAAATTTTAACACCCAGGCTGAAAGAATTCCAGCATGAAGGTGCAATTTTCTCATGTAAAATGTTGCTTATTATACGACATTTATAATCTAACAAAACACATTTTCCTGGTATGCTAATGCATTATGCAAACCCTCTCGTGATTTTGTCACAGAATTTTAAAAGTTTCAATTAAGTGAAACAGACCTTAACCAGCTTTGAATGAATTGTCTAATGAGAACAGACTTTATATTCCAAAGTAGTTGTTTTTAATATTAACTTATATTTATATAGGTTGGAATCAGTTATTTTGTCCTTTGACCTAGCTTTCCTTCATGCATTCCTCTCTTTGGGTATATCTCAAATACAGCAAGAAAGAAAAGGGATAAGTCACCATGTGAACATATGTGTATATGTACATATAAACACATATATTTATGTATCTGCATGTATATACATACATACATGTTTATATATTATTGGAAAGCACAGAAATTCTTGTATCCACTTTCTGCTATTTGGGGGAGATACTGGGGATTGAACTCAGGGACACTTAAAAAACTGAGCCATATCCCCAGCCCATTTTTAAAATTTTATTTATAGACAGGGTCTTACTGAATTGCTTAGGGCCTAGATAAGTTGCTGAGGCTGGCTTTGAACTTGTGATCCTCCTATCTCAGCCTCCCAAGACAAGGGGATTACAGGAGTGAATCACTGCACCCAGCTCAGTTTCTATTCTTTGTAAGTACTTTGCTTATCCTCTCTGAGCCTCAGTTTACTTTTCTCCAAAATACAATAAGAATACATACTTTTCTAGCCCTGAAAGAAAGGGTGAAAAAGGCTAATCAAGGATCAAACTTGAAATATATAAGGCACTTAGTATTTATGGAATAATTAATTCCATTGAAAATACAGTTATCCCTGATGTAAACTACTACATAACCTTTAATAAGAGAGCATGGAGATTATTTAACCAAATAGCTACATAGTTACAGATATTTTAACAACTGTCTAATCAACACACAACAAAGCAACCAAAGTGTGACTAGTTCAAGTAGATTCACCTTGATGAAACCTTATGGTGGATATATGAGTGATCAGGCATTTATTCATGATATTTAAGCATGGGCACATCTCCCAAGCAAAACAAGAGATTAAGAAAATTTCCTTGTACATCTGAATGTCTCAAAAAGGAATTCACAAATTATTGGAGAAATAGTGTTATTCATACTTAATGAAAAGAACTCCAACTAGCAATTATTTACTGATCATTTTCTACATTTGTGTAGACATATATTAAATATATTGAAATTGCTACAACTAGAAGTAATAACAGGTAAATGTACAGTGATTTGTGCTTCCCCTTAACTTCCCTTTTAATCCTTAAAGGGAAGAAATACCTACAGAGTCAACACAAAGGAAGAATGATAGAACAAATTTTCAATTAGGTAGCTCAAGACATAAGAAATATGCTATGAAATATAAGGGGCTGGGAATCCATTAGGAAACAAAGTCAAAAATATTGCTTTCATAATCTCACAATCTGAGATCTGTGTTGAAATAGGTACAATTATGATGTTTAGATTTATGAATCAAGCTACTAATAAAGTATGTTTTAAAGAAATACATCAGCGGCCAAGGTATTTGTGTGTTCTTTTCATAGAAGTTATTGAATGAGCTTTAACATTTCATGCAAAACTTTGGAATACTCTCCAATATCTTCGTGCAAAATTCAACTTCGTTCTATAGTTGTGGCCAGTGCCTAGCACAGAGTTTGCCACACTGTTTGGGGACTTATGTGCTTGTATATTATATGTATATACAAATAAATTTGTATATTACTTAATATTTTCAAAATGTGTATAATCCCATCAGATCCCCCAGCAAACTCAGTGAAATTGCAGGGTAGAATTGTTTCCTCCTATTGTACAGTGTCTAAGAGATTGAATGATATAATTGCCCTGTGTGCCAGATGAGGAAACAGTATCAGTGAGAGATGTGACTTCTGCATACCACATAACTAAGACTTGAATTTCAAGATCAGTGTTCTCTCTAAAACAATTAAAAGATAAGAAGACAATAGTATGGCAGTATGTAAAAACGTGGATGTGTAACCGATGTGATTCTGCAATCTGTATATGGGGGAAAAATGGGAGTTCATAACCCACTTGAATCAAATGTATGAAATATAAAATGTCAAGAGCTATGTAATGTTTTGAACAACTAATAAAAAAAAAGATAGGTCTATTGAGCTATTCCTGAGTGTCTTTATAGTCTCTTAAATATATGGATAGTCAATCATCTTTGACTTTCTCAATCATTGGTGAAATGTGCTTCTTTTTTTCTCTCTTCCTTTTACCATAAGATGGAAAAGACCTTCAGACATAATCAATATTATAATTAGAATAAAATGACATTGATTATATGCAAATATTTTGCTGCAAAATAGTGTATACTTTTAAAAGTTTGTTGCTAGCCAAAAAAACTCAGCTCTATCACAGGAAAGGGGATGGAGGCCATTTGTCATTTCCAATCCTGCACCCATGGTCATCCCATTAAATTACAGAAAGTTTCTCTATGCTTCTTAAATTCTTTTTTAAATTTTTTTTCAGTGTCTTACTAGGTTATTATTATTATTTTTTAAATACATGACAATAGTGGAATGCATTACAATTCTTATTACACATTTAGAGCACAATTTTTCATATCTCTGTATATAAAGTATGTTCACACCAATCAGAAAATAGGAGTCCCTACTGTGGTGAGCCAGTGAAAGTCAACTGTCCGACAGGGAAAGGAACCATGGCCAGTATTTGTAGACTCCAGTAACTGAACCCTGAAGAACTGACTTTAAAGTAGACATTTTAATAACATCACCTACTAAATCACAATCTGCAGAGTATGGCACGTGGCATGTAGCACTCCTGACTCAATTCCTGGCACACATTAATTCATCAATAAGTGACACCTCTGAATAAAGGCCGGTTATAGATAGCCGTGAAAGTGTGCAAGATAAATATTTTTCAAACTTAATGATAGAAACGGATCTATTATTATTATTATTAAAAAGCATTTTTAACAAGTTTGGTTTTTAAAGCAAGTTATTTTCTGGGCAATATACCCAAGTCCTATTGAAGGAATTCTGGCACTACTACTTCAGTTATCTTGTGTACTGTTATATGTCAACATTCCAAAAAACTTTAACAGAAATTAACAGCAACTACAATTAGATCCCAACATTTCTGGCACTAGAAGCAGTTTCTCTCTAAAGCAAATGGGATTACTGGGCTGGCTCTCTTGATCTGGGGGAAAAAACCCATCTCCCCACCTCCCTCTCCCATATCCCGTGTTTCCATCCCCTCTTCCCCAAGCACGTATATTCTGACCATTTGAGTGGAAAGTTCAAAGAAAGCCACACAGCTACACCCACTCAGCGCTCCTAGGGGTGGAAGAGCAAAGTTCTAGGGCAGAGCCTTCCTTCCCAGAGCCTGGCCATGCAGTCGCTCTCGGATACCTGCTCCACTAAGCGCCGCGTCTGAAGATCTGCTGCCACGGAACAGTTGCGTCTCCATCTGGCTGCCAACCCACCCGAGCTTTCTTCTCCTCCTCCACCACCACCTTCCTGCCTTCCCCCTCCTCCCCCTCCTTTCCGTCTTCCCTCTCCACCCCCGCCCCCAATCTCCTCCTCTTTTTCTCACTACAAGCGGTTGCTGATGCTGAAGCTGAGCGTCACTTCGGCTCCCACGGCAGACATGGCGACATTGACAGTGGTCCAGCCGCTTACTCTGGACAGAGGTAAGGGAGCGGCTCGCCCGCCAGGCCACTGCGCCCCCTCTGCTGCTGCCTCTGCCCCTGACAACTCCCACCGGGACAGCAGGACGCGCTCGGGCAGGGCGAGCAGGAAGAGCGAGGACACCCAAGAAGGCATTCGCGCCTAGAGCGGGATACTTTCTTCCCCTTTTTCTCCCCGCCTTGTCCCTGCTGCCCCTTCGTGCTGTACTCGCCCAGGCGAGGGGTGCTGGTCCGGTTCTGGAGACCCTGCCGCCACTCCCAGCCCCTCACTGGGTCGCCTCCCGGCCGCGGGCTTTGTTGGAGAGGATGAGCGGGGACCGCTAGGCGCCCGGGGCTTGGGGTTGGAGAGGGGCAGAGAGGAAGCTCGCTTGGCCCGGGAGCAGAAAGACTGGCAAGGGAGTCGCCTGCCAATCTGCACGGTCAGGCGGCCCAAGAGAAAGGAAGTTTGTCCCTGCGTAGGAGGACTAGGGTTGGTCCAGTGACTGGTGCCCAGGAGGCCGCCCAGGGGCGGTCAGGGCGCTCCTGTGGGGTGGCCAAGCGCCCAGCGACTGTGCTGCCGCGGCAGGGAGCTGCCCTCCGCTGAAAGGGCAACGCGGAGTGCGGGCAGCAGTGCCCGGGTCCTGACGCCGCATCGCGGCAGCAGAGCCCCGCTCTTCCCAGCCTCGCGTCGGGACTGCGCTGGGGGTCGCGTTGCTCTCTCCTCCTGCAGCTCCAGAGTGGTAGCAACTCTGTTTCTCACATCCCAGCCAACCTTGTTCTTGCCCAGCTAGGTGCAGCCGCGGTGTCCCTAGGCGCGAGGACAAAGCACAGGTTCGGTTAAATTTTAACTTCTGACCTGCGACCCCAAGCTTTCTGCCCTCTGACTTAAATGGGGAAACAGTGTTGGTTTCCTCCCCAAGACCTCCGCCAGCCCAGGGATGGGTGATCCGCTGCGATCAGGGCCTCTCTGGTGCACCCATGCGGGATTATACCTGTACCTATGTGATCGCGTTTCCTTTCTGGCTTGCGACGTCCAGTTATGAAGGCGCTCGAGTCCCATGGCTCTGCAGAGAGAGGGCACCCGCTAGTCCCTGTCCGCAGCGGCCGGATTTAGGACCCGGGGCGGCCATTTGGAAATGATGTGTTCAGAGGCAAATGATTTAGTCTATGGCCCTCTAAAATTTTTCTTTCTAGCGGATAAAACTGGACAGTGGGGCAAAGCAAAAGAGCATATTTGCAATGAGTACAATGCAAAAGTCAGTGAACTCAGTTTGAGGTTTTTAATTTGGAGAGATAGTGGATGTCTTTAACTTAATCAGCCGGCGCCAGATGTTATGTGGTGCCCATAGCAACCTTACTTGGGATAAGAGTTTAAAAATTTATTTTAAATGATAAAAGACTGATTTTATTTTGGAAAATGTTGATTTACAACGTAACAAATTAGAAATAGTTAAGAGCTCAGAAATCCATTGTATAATCCATGATTTCAGCCCCAATATCATCCTCTGCACTAAGCAGGATAGATCCATTGCCAGTAAGAGCCAGATGGCAAGCTATTAGAAACTGTGGATTTCCCAAGTATTTCTATTTTAATGTGATGGGCGCTTATATTGTCCCATTACTAAATTACAGTCATTAAACATTCTAAGTAAAACAACTACCTTTGGATCAGACTCTCCACAAAGATTTTATTCCTGAGCAATTTTATATCTGCTTTTTACTACTAATAATAAAGATATTTCACTTCTGGAGGATTTATCTTAGCCTTTACATGCCTCAGCATGTACTAAGAAGTGGTACTGAACAGATATGGATTTATTCTAAAGTTTGTTCTTGTTCATGTTCAAACTGTACCTGTTCTTCTTGGTGTGATTGGGTCCATGCATGAGCTCAGAAAGGAAATGGATTAGATTATGCCTAGATCTGAATACAATCACCAGCAGTCCACAGGATCTGTAACCTACTAGGAATGATGGGCTATTGTTATCACTGCTGCACATGTTCAATATAAACAAGTATTTTTCTGTCACGTCATGATAATACATTAATGATCAATTAATTGATTCATTTCATCATTCAATTTATGGAATAAAGGATCCTAGAACTTTCCCCTTTGGAAAATGTGTGTTAAAAGAAGCAGCCCAATACTACTTGTTTAGTTCCCAATTGCAAATCTGGTACTCAACTTCGGATGAATCAGTTAACCTCTTTAGACATCAGTTTCCCTCTGTGCCACATCAGGAGTTTAAACTAAATGATTTTGACACTGTGCAGTTTTAGCAGTCTATAATTCAACTAATTAAAGTTAAGACTCTGTTTGGTCACCTACTGGGAGATTTTCCAAATCATTCCTCTCCCCGGCTGCTTTGGTACCCTTTGAAGTGCTCTAAATTTCCCCACTGCTTTGGTTTCATGGAAGCTTTTATCACACTCTTATTGCATTTGTCTCCCCAGTGGGTGGAGCTCCTCAAGGGAAGAGTTCATTTCCGAATACATCTTTGAATTCTCAATGCCTGTCATCATCCCTGACATGGTAGGATAAAAAAAAAAAAAAGTCTGTTTGTACAAATAAACAAAAGACAGCAGTAAGTCGAGCACTGTTAAATATAGGGATTTAGTGGTGAACTGAGGTATAGTTCATAAAGTCTTATTTTGGCTCTGTAAGGGATGATAAAGATAACACAGACCAATGGTTTTTAACTGCTCTTTTCCCCTATGCACGCAATAAGATTCTCAGCAATAATAGTAGCTCACCAAGGCTATGTTTTTTAACCAAGACTTATGATAGGTGGGCATAGGGAAGGAAGGGAAGAAGGTGCTTCACAAAGCCTCCCCAGGGCATCTAGGTGAGTCTGAAAACAATCCACAATTTTACAGCTGCTGATTCTTTTCCAGTATTTTCATTTTACAAATGGAGAACATAATGATGGCAAGATGTTTTCAAAATTACTCTACCACACAGTTGGAGATTTAAAGATAAAATATAGTTTTTCTTGTTCTGAGTCCTTTGGTATCCTAAAGTAGAATCATAAACACGTGGAATCTTCAGGGCAAGGTCTAAACAAACAAATCAAAACTATGGATCAAAATTAAGATTAAGTGCTCCTAGAATTCAGAATTCAGAAGATATCATCTGAAAGTAGGAAGCTTAGAAGTCTGCATCTTGCTCTTTGGATCCTCTCTGGGAAGCAGAGAGACCTGGTCTAGACTAGGCTCCAAAAGGCTGAAAAGGCGATTTAGTGCTTTCATGGCTCTGAGTGTATTCCAAACTCTTTTCTATCTGCTACTAAGTTGTTGGATTAGATTGGCTCTGACCAGGGTAGGTTCCTTTTCCCTCTGGTCCCAGTCCATGATATTTGTCACTTACTTACTGAGTGCCAATTATATAAACAGACCCTACTGTGGGATTGGTGTGTATTGAGGAGCTAAACAGGTATAATTTTAATCTTTGTAAATTAGGGCCTATTGCAGGAGAGAGATTATAAAATACACCCACATACAAGCAAACAACTCATTTACTCATTCACTATTCATTTATCATCTATTAAATGCATGATACTATGGGAATATCAGAAATGAAGTTTCTTGCTTTAAGAGTCTAGTTGGGAAGACAAATAACAATAAGAGATTATTAACTAACTTAACAAATAAGTAACGAGTGCCAGACTTCTGCCAAATATTGTTTTAATCGCTGCGGTGGTGCTAATGAACAAAACAGATAAAATCTAATGGTGAAGAACACATTCAAAGATAATTATAAGTGCTGGGAGAAAGAAGAAAACTGGATAAAGGAGAATGATGGGGGCTGTAGATGTAGTCGTCAAGGAAGGTTCTACTGAGTTGGTGACATTTGAGAAGAGCCTTGAAAAAAGCAAACTTTGCAGATGTTTGGGGAAATGTGCTCAAAATGAACTCACATGGGCATGCGGGGAACATCCAGGAAGCTAGTGTAAGGGAAGAGAGGCAGGAGAGGAGATGCAGGGAGATGGTAACAGGGCTCATGATGATGGTACTCATAATTAAGATTTTAGACTAGTTGAGAATACAAAGTGTTGTAAAAAAAAAAAAAAAAAACCAAACATGCCATTGAGATATAGAATAATAGGGGAGGACCTGATTGATGTTGGTCAAGGAAGGTTCACTGAGAAAGTGAACTGTAAACAGATTGTAGGGTGGTAATAGGATTCTTAGAAGAAGCATTCAAAGAGAAGAAAGAGTAGGAATAAAAACAGCTCCACATTTACAACTTGGCTAACAACTGGTTAATATGTCTAAAGTCTAGAAAATAATCGAAAATTAAAATTACCAAGAAATAATTACCCTCTAAGTATGTATCCTGGGGTAGAAATTTGGTTATATATGCCAAGGAAATCTACAGATCAGCTTTCCCTTCTTTTATTGCTAGGCTAAAACATCATATATTATAATTAGATTTTCAAAGATATACTGAGCACTGTAATTTACATGTCACTGTGCATAAATCTGCATGTTGAATTCAAGTGGTCATAAGATGAGATCTATTCATTTTTGGTCTCATATTTCATGTTAGATAGTAGTGTAGGAAGTAGCACATATAATTTACCCTCTTGGCCAAGTGAAGATGCTGATAAGGAGATTAGTGTGGCATTCTCTTCCAGGTTTTAAAACGTTCACAGCAGCTCTTCCCAACACCGAGAGGCTGGTTTGCCCAGATTTTAATCTCTGAAACCAGGAATGACCTTCAGTTAAACCAGAGGCAGCAAAGCAGAGTACAATCTGGATACTTAATACCTTCCTTTAAAATGACATAGAAATCCTTCATTATATGAAAGAAAGGTTTTGGTCACTTTCCTTGGTAACACCAACTCTACTTTCCATCTCAAGGTCAGAAAGGATAATATAAAAGAATTTTTCAAAATTTCACTTTTGTTGAACATCCCCCATAATTAAACCAAATGGATAAAAAAAAATCCAGTGTCAAAAAATGGATAATTAAAACATTTCTATGTGTTAATTACTGTTATGAAATTTAAAATATTTGATATATGATGACATGATCAGTTGGTTACATTCTGTAATTAAATGCTTATATAAGATAAAATGTTGACATTACTGTCATCTAAGTTTTCTGTGAGTTAAATTCAATTTGGATAACTTGCAAAATGTAAACAGAAATCTTTACTTCTTGGCTTCTTTAAATTGTAATTTAAAATATTGATTAAACTCATCTTTTTTAGCATGCTTTGTCTTTTTTTAAAAAAATATCAGGCTTTCACCCTTTAACAATTCTAATGTAAAACCAAGACCTTTTATTTTGTGCATTTCAAACTTGTGGACAAAAAAAAAAAAAAACATGAGAACAAAACTGGAATGCCAATGAGAATCCCATGAGTGCCACACTTTCCATAAAATTTGTGATACATTAAAATTTTTCTTTTTCCTTTCCACTTTTCAAGGCATGCAGAGCTTATTACTTCATGTATCTTCCAATTCAAGCCTTGGGCAGCCTATAGCTTTTTTAATCAGCTCTATTCACCAGGTTTTATAAAATCTGTGTTTGCCTGAAAATTGCTTTTGCTCATAGCCGAAAAAAGCTTGCCTCTTCTCTTGTTCCTCATTATTTTTTATGTTTTATTATTTGACATGAAAAATGTTAAGAAGGAAGGAAAATAAAAACTATGGTTTTGTTTTTATGTTGCTCTAAAGACATGTGCCATGGTGGTCTTCACTGGGGAGGAATAAGAGAGGGACTGATGATGTCTTACACCTCTTGTGCTAAAGGTTTCCCACTTCAGCACCCAGATATGTTTTAGTTCACAAACTTTAACTACTTGCTTGCTTTCTCATATTTTCTGGAGGCTCCAATAAATATTTTTAAAAATATTTTTATTGAATTTTTTCCAGATCAATATCATTTCCTTTTGTGCTATATATTTAAAGAACACTCTCTAAGAATCAAAAATTTGTCACCATATCCATCTTTTCTTTTTTTGTTTGGTAATGGCAAGATGCCAAGAGAATGACTCAAAACATACATCTTTTACTTAAGGATAGCTTTATATATAGTTCTAAAATTTAGAATAAATACAGGAATTAATGAAAGAGCTTCCAGAAAAAGAAAAAAAGTAATTTAGTGAATTCTTCTAATTTGCTCCAAGACCCGAGATATGTTTGGTATGCTCCAGTCATTTATGAAATTAATATTTTTACTTCTGAAGTATTTCTTTCAGGAATCACAGCAGGAGACTAGATATTTAGAAGGGGAAAAGGAACATATATGGAGAAAAAACAAATGGGAAAATGTACTGGGTGTTCAGCATGGTGTTACATGCACAAAACCCGTGTCTCTTGGAGAGAATTCTTTTTTTTTTTTTTTTAAGTTTTGACATCTGTCT